TGGGGCTGCTACAGCGAGTCCCCAGACCGGCAGCTACAACAGACATTCATTTCTCAGAACTCTGGAGACTGATGTCCGAGATCACGGTGCCTCCACGGCAGGTCCTGGTGAGGGTCCCCTTCTGGGCTGCAGGAGGTGACTTCTGAGTCCCCACGTGGCAGGGAGAGAGAGTGCTCTGGGCTCATCTTATCAGGGCACTAATCCCATCATGAGGCACCACCCTCATGACCTAATCACCCCCCAAAGGCTCCACCCCCTAACCTCATCACACAGGATCAGGGTTCCAACACCCAGGCTTTAGGAGAACACAAACATTCAGTCTATCTCAAGCCTCGAAGGAGCAGGAGGAAGCTTTAACCAAGTGGCCCACTTTATCCAGACAATCTAGATAGTGTGAAGAAAACGGTTCTTCTGGAGAGGGGAGTGTTTGAAAATAACTGAAAATGTCTTTTTTACCTTCCAAATGCCATGCCTGTTTATTTCATACATGAATACATTCATGCAGTTAGCATATTCTTTGGTGACCCAGTATTGCTGGGCTGTGGAGCTGAAAGGTGAACAGGACACGTGCCTGATTCTTAAGGAATTCAGCGAGTGGGACAGGGGTTGAAATCACAAATAGACCCCCTCTTCTCTCCTGTGCACAGGAGCTGTGTGACCTGCCCCATCAGCAAGGAGCACGTGAGGGTCCAGCCACCAGCACCGCGGCTACAGGGGCGCCACACGGTGCACGCTCAGTGATGTGCCCTCCAGCATCTGGGGACGGGGCACGCTGAAGGGAGTGCACAGCAGATGCAGGCTGCAGCTGGGTGGTGGGGGTCACTCTGAGCAACGAGCAAACAGAAAGAGCAGGCACGGATGTGGAGGATAAATGGGTTCTGAGACCTGGAGAATAGACTTGTAATCGCGGGAAGAGGGAAGGGTACTAAGCACTTATGCATTGTGCCAAGATCAGAAGTACTGGTATGAACTAGGGGTCTTAACATAGGAACCCACAGGTAGATACAGACACCACTATAGATGCAAACGAGTGTGCACGTGCACAGATCTTCCATCCGTATCTACAGGGAAGGCCCGGGAGCAACGATGCCTCAGTAGCCATGGGCACGCAGAGCGCACAGAGCCTGATTTCTAAACACGCTCCTCACGCAAGGATTGCCAGCTCCCTGGAGAAGTGGCTGCTCGCGGGGCAGAGCCAGGGCAGGACAAGGTCAGTCTGCAGTGTCCTGCTGTGCCAAAAATTAGGACGTGCTCGAAGACCAGTGGGAACACGGCACCACCTTAGCTCCCATGGGCCAAATCTGGGATAATTTGAGACTCAAAATAAATAATGGTAACAAAGGACAATCCACTAATAGAACAGGAACCCGTGCATCTGTGCTGACAGGATGCTGACTAATGGAAAGAAAGACGGCACAGAGGTTTGATGCAGAGCAGTACACTGCTGGAATATCTGGTCCACAACCCACTGATCAGCAGCCAAAGGAAAAATGGCAACATTGCCATGGAGACCCTGGAAGCCACAGCCGGGCCCGGCGATGGAGGTAACACCCACACCAAGAACACACAGCATCATTTCCAGGAGGTTCCATCAGGACTGCATGATCTGGTCATGAGGAAGCATCAGGCGGACCCAAGTCGAAGGTCATCTCTCAGAATATAAGGTCTGTGGTCCTTATAACTTGCAGGAACACAGAGGATGGGGAAAGATGGAGCAGTGAAGAATTGCTCCAGGTAGGAGTGTTGGCGTGAGCAGGACCGCAGCCATGCTGGTGCCTCAAACCGCATCGGCTTGAAAAGATTTTAAGGGGACAGTTTTTTGGGTTTTTCTTGGCACGCATTTCTCTGAGTTCCCTCTTTTCCCATGGTTGTTTGATATTTTGAACCTCAGTTATAGGACAAGATGACATTATTTACATGAGTGTAAAGTTGTTTTCCAGCCACCCTGAAGCTGCAGACTTGCATGAACTATCCAGATCCTCAGAAACCAAAGAAAATGTCAATAAAGCTGTGCTGATCCTACCCTCCAGCAGGACCCTGAGATAACAGCAAGGATGGGAGCAGAAACCATATGGAGCCTGGGCGAGACCGTGCACCTGGCTCATAGACACTTAGCCCCTGCGGCTCACGTCCCCTCCCTCCTGCTTTTTGTGTCCCACATTCCATTCCCTCAGCCCCCTCTTTAAAAAACCCTCAGTAAACCTGAGTCTCTGAGATGGCTTTGGTCTGGCCACTCTCTTTCAGGTCTACCAGAGAGATGGG